TTTTGTTTTTTTAAACCAATTTTTGGATGTAAAGGGAGAATCTTAACTCCCCAGAATGGGCTTATTTCATTTTGGGTTTTTAATTTGCTGTCAAATTCTCGTTGTTTTTTTCTATTTCTTGGAATTTGTATTTCTGTGAAAGAAAAACCACATTTCCTTTCTCCTTCCTGCCATTCAGGTGTTACTGTTGTCATTTGCTGACAGTGACAAAGAGCTTTCTAAATTTCAGTCACTTAAAAAAGCTGAAAATACCTACAGAGCTTCTTCCTGGGGACTTGCAGACACATGCAGGGGCCTGTGCACAGCTGGGAAGTGCCACTGATTCCTTATTAAGGATCTCAGCCAGGTGGACATCTAAATCTAGATAATCCATGTACTGATATACATAGAAAGAGGGGAAACAGAACCAGAAGGAGACCACAGGGCAGGACAGCACTGAAAAGCTCTGTTAAGTGATCCACTATAGGCAAAGCTGAGCTCTTGCTACTGCTAAGTGGTTTAGAGAAATTTTTTTCAGATTTTTTGGGGCAAGAGGATCACCTAGAAGGTGGGAAATTCCAGCAAAACTCTTTTACCCCTCCAAGTTTGTCCCCATCTCAGCTACTGCAATCCCCCACCAAGCTGCAGGTATAAATGCTCATGCAGGTCTTGAGCATGAGGTGAAACTCCACTCAACTCCTTCTAACACCCAGTTTCATTCCTGGAATTTGGTAGCAAAAAGACAAGGGTAACCCAAATAAATGGGACACTTGCAGCTCCCAGAAAGCAAACCCACAGACAGCTCTTCTTGCTTTACCCAAGGAGGTTTGATGTTTGCAAGGAAGGTCAGCTCAGATGTATCCCCAAACCTTTTAATCCAGTTGTGGCATTTCAAGCAGATGAAATTTCAAAGGAGCATTTGGAAATGGACATGTTATTATGGGTATAAACATGGATGAGCCATTTTTCGTGAAGGGGAGACAGTGTTTACTGTTGCTGAGCTGTAGAACAGATAAATAAAAGCATTCTCAAGTGCACTCAGCTGTCTTCTGCTGCAGGGAGCTACTCTGGCTGTTCATAAAAACCTCCACAGAATGAGCACCAGTGGCATTTCCCACCCAGCACTGCTTACACACCTCTAATTCCACAGAAATAACTTTTTGTCAAGGGAAAAATAATTGTTTAAAGCTCTCAGCTATTCAGCTGGTTTTTGGTGAAGTGTTCCTGCAGTGATGGCCCTTTGGTCTGCAGGAACCAGGAGGGAGTCACCCTGTCCCCATCAGCATCTTCCCTCAGCCACAGCCTGAGGACTGAGAACATGATGGTACAAATTCTGTAAAATTGGTACAAATGGGGGAATTAAATTCTCTCATTTTGGAGATGTCTTTTTAAAAAAAAAATCTTTCTTGCAGGACACATGTCACAGACACTCAACCTCAGGAAATTGCCTTGCATCTAGAAGGGGAAAAAAGCCCCACCAACTTGCCACCTCCATAAATCAGCCATCTGCAGAATGTAAACTGGTGCAGCGTGGCTCTATCAGCACTTACAGCTCCAAGTGCTTTGCAGAAGTTTACACAACTTGAACTATTCCGTCTCTCCTAAAAGAAATCTCGTGCTATAAATTACCAAACTTTCCAGGAAACACGACAAAAACCCACCGTCGGTGCTGACCTCCAGGACTCAGCTATAGAGCTCATGAAAAGGAGAAGTTTCCCTGGGGATGAAAGGAGATGGAGAGCTGAGTTTGTCTGTGGGTGTTTGGGGAAGAAGGTCACCCGCGGCACATCGTGATGCCGCTGCAACGCGAGAAGGTGTTTTGGGAAGGGGTTGACAGATGATGGGGGGAAATGAGGAGGAGACCAGCACACTCCTCTCCTTCCTGGCCTTCACAGGCTCCAAGGACGTAACCCAGAATCAGCCTGAGAGAGCAGCAGAACTCCTGCTGAACCCAACAGGGCATGGAAAGATATTATACCATTTGTAAGACTTCATTAACTGCTATGTTTTCAGCTCTGTGGCACTGGCTGCAGGAGCAGGGGCTCCTTTCCAAATGCTGGAACAATTTTTGCCTATGTTGTCCCATTCTCAGATTTCTCTTAACTCATGGACATAGATAATACTGCTGCTGAACCAGCCCGGGGACAAGAATGCCCCACTACACTGTGCTTCTCTCAGCTTCATCAAAGTTTGTACAGAGAATCCATCAGGAGCACCATCCTCTACCTCATGATGTGGACCAGCAAAACCCCCACTAATTCTTGAAAATTTCAAGAATCTGGAAGAGAAGTAAGAGGGGAGGCAAATGGGGAATGACTTCCCCCTGCCAGAGGGCAGGGATAGATGCGATATTGGGAAGAAGAAATTGTTTCCTGTGAGGGTGGGCAGGCCCTGGCACAGCGTGCCCAGAGCAGTTGTTGCTGCCTCGTCCCTGAAAGTGTCCCAGGCCAGGTTGGGAAGGGCTTGGAGCAACCTGGGACACTGGAAGCTGTCCCTGCACATGGCAGGGGGTGAAACTGGATGAGCTTGAAGTTCCCTTCCAACACAAACCATCTTGGGATTCTGTGATCTGTGATGCTTTGAACAATTATATTAGTACTGGGTATAACTGGGGTTTGGTGGAAAAGCACAGGGTTGGTTCCTCCCTGTAGAGTCAACTCTGGGAAAAGTGGTCGAAGAGTTGGCCCAGTACATGCTCTTTGTTATTTAAGTTATACACACATACTAAGAGGAAAAGCACCATCTTCCTGTAAGAGTGCTCAGCACTTAACAATTTAAAATTGGTACATTTATACAGCTTTTTTACTTCCTGCTTTGTTTGCAGCATTATGACTCGGTGACAATCTCTAGCTGAGGGGTTGGGGATATCCACAACAGGAGTAAACACACAACCAGATTTTTATTTGACTTTGTAACAAGATGAGCTTCACACAACTTCTCTTTGCCCTTTTCTTTACCCTAAAGAGCTGCTTTCCTCTTAAAGGATGCCAAAACTTACAAAGGAGCCCCGGATGCCCATGCTACCTGCATGGTAGCCCCAGACCTGCTGAAGTGGGCCAGAAGACTTGACTCTGCTTCTAAGAAACATCCTTGATCTACAATAAAAAAGCCATACTATGAAAACAGGAAACCACAAGTGGTTTCACCTCTAGTAAGTTCAACTGTTCAAGATAACTAAAACAAACCCCAAAAACACACTGAGCTGCATTTTCTGAGACCAAATGTGAGAGTGCTGGAACACTCTCATTGCTGGCTGTTTTCTGTCCCCCCTACATGGCCCAAGACATCACCCTGCTTTTCAGAGCATCACCATATCAGTACCCACTTATAATGTCCCTAACAGTAAGGAATTATTTTCATTTATCTGTTTTTGGCAACCTTGCCCTGCAGCTGGATCTACCTACACTCTTGCTCATAGACAGCAAGGAGGAAATTCTCACAGACCTCCATCCTGGGGGAATTTGGGTCGATCATGTGAGGAGAAGGAGGTCTGGGAGCTCTGAAGTCTCCCTGGTGCCCCTGCGGAGTCACAGCAAAGGGACTGCACTGCTCTCATGCTTGGCTTCCAACCCAACCCAGGTATCACATGTCCATCTGTCCTTCCTGTCCTTGGTCCCTGGTCCACACCAGCCACATGCCTGGAAAGAAAAATGCTGAAGGAAAAGGTTCTGGCAGAAGAAAGACACACGGGATTCCACAAAAGGGATTTAAAATGAGCATAAATGCTTCCCTCACTCTCCCATGCAAAAAAAAACAGTCCCCAAAGAGGGTCTTGCTGACCCCCAAAATGTGCCAGAAGTAGCAAGTTCCTACTTCTGTCTGATCATGGAGGAGCTGTGGCAGAACACATCTCCTCAAATGTAATCTAATAGAGAAAATCACAGGATCTGGGGTTATGTTCTCCTTCCTTTCCCCAAGTTCATTCATATCACAAGCCATACAACCCTCCCTTTCCCCTCCCTGTATGATCTGGCAAACCTGCTGGAGGGCACCTGGGCCATGTCCAGCTGCCTGTTCATCTGAACAAGGCTGCTCATCCTCAGCTCGAGTCTGTGCATAAAAAGCACAACCAGATCAGAATGCAGTGACAAAAGAGCTCCAGTCCCAGAGCTGAGACAGCAGGATGGAGAGATCACTCCTTGAAAGCCTTCCTGGCTTGCTGCATCACTTTGATCCTCCAAGCCCTAAGCATGCTGCCCTCTCCCTCATCCCCACCTCCTCTGCCCTGCCCATCTCCAGGAAGAGACAGGACAGGGACGTCCAGGCTGGACAATCAGAGCAGCCCTACCTGTGCTGCTCCTGGTGCCAGTGCTGTGCTGTGAGCAGGACAGAAAGGGGTGCTTCACCTCCCTCCAGCCATCACCAGAGGCTTTTACCCCTCAAAGTTTGTCCCCATCCCAGCTACTGCAATCCCTTACCAAGTTGCAGGTGTAAATGCTCATGCAGGTCTTGAGCATGAGGTGAAACTCCACTCAACTCCCTCTAACACCCATTTTCATTCCTTGAGTTTGGTGGAGGAAGCACCTCCTCTAGAGCCAGCAGAGGAGTATTTCCAGAAGGAGGGTGATCTCACTTTAAAAAGCATGACATAAGAAAATGCATGGGAAGATGACTTTGTGAAGTCTTGTCCCAGAGACAAAAATCTAAAGAGGCAACAAAAGCCACTATCTTCCTGAAGCTGTCTTGCTGCAGCAACTAGAGACTTGGGATGACTAATGTTCCTCCTTCAGCAGCCAAGTGAGACACAGCTCACCTTCACAACAGAAAATAGATCAGAGATTAATTTATTGTAAATAGAAGGTGTATCCAATAACACAGTGCTGAGAAATGGGAAAAATACGGGAAGGATTTCAGGCAAGGGTGTGCCTGAAAGCAGAACACTGCATGTCAGGAGATTCATTAATGTGCAGTGCCATGGGACCCTGAGTGAGGAAATGAACTCATCTTTTCATTCAGAAATCCCATCTCTTCAGTTCTGTAAAACTGATGGAATTTGCCGTCTACATTCCCTGTCCCAGAGAGGAGAGAATTCTACTTTTATAAAAACACAACTCAATGAATTTTTTTCTTTAAATAATTCTATTAAAACTGGTCTTCAAGTGGATTTTAATGTGTCATAATTTCAAGAACTGATTCAAAATTTGAAGATGTATATTCATTATATATGTTTAAGCTTGTTTAAAATTACAGTAAGCATGATTTTAAATTATCCAGGAAAAGATTGATAAGTGAACCATATTCTTGAAAACTAGAAGAATTCATTCTGTAGTGATGAAAGTTTTTTTCATAAATTATTTAAAATGGAACAGTCCCTTATTTTTCAAAGTAGGTCATCCATATTGTCTGACAGGCATACACTCATGCTGAATTCTCTGAGAATAACAAGATATATAAAATAGAAAAGGATAAAAAAAAGCAGGTATTTCAGAAAGAAGCCAGCAGTATTTCTCCTTACAGGTGAGCTGCACCTCCTGGTGACAATTCTGAAGATGTTCTTAGTGACAAGGGCCACCAGCAGCCAGACTGCACTGGAGGGAGATGGAAAATACTTTACACCAAGGTAAGATGACTCAATAATCCCTGTGGTTCCCTTCCAGGTCATCTTATTCCGTAATTCTGTGATTAATTCCGTGATTCTGTGACTGACTTTGACAGCTGTGGGAACCAGCAGTGATTTCTGGGCGGCTGAGACTGTCCAGATTTGTTAGTGTTAGTTAAGATAGTTCCAGCAACTGGTGTTAGTTAAGATAATTCCAGCAGCCAGTGCTGCTCCTGCCATAGGAGGAAAGACACAGGTAATTAATTGCTCCAAGTTCTTGCAAGCACTCACGGCAGCTTCGTCATTGCATTAATTGGGTGATTTGCCTGCTGAGTGAAAGCACAAACTCTGGCTCACTCCTCCAGGTCAATTCACAACTGAAGGAGTCCACCTGGAACTGTCAGCTGCCTTCCTGTGGTCATTAGGTGATATTCATTGAACAAATAAAGAATCGCTATTAAAAAATTTTTAAAATCGGGTAGGGTGGATTTTTGAGTCCATGCCTCCAGCCCAAACAAGAACAGGTAGTACCTAAATCCATGCTTCAGTTTTGCCCCAGGTGAAGTCTGATGATGGCTGAAATAAGTAAAAAGGTTACTTCGTGTCCTGCATATTTCACTTTTTCGCTTATGCTACGGGCTACACTGTGGCTTTCTGCTTTGCAACAGAAAATCCCAGAGGTTTTTGACCTCCACAGCATGTTTCAGGAGTCCTCTGAGGTTCAAAACATTTCTTAATATCAAAGTATGCTCTTCTTCCCACCAGATTTTTAAACACAAAGCAGTTCATCCACTGTGTGGATACACATTCACCTAACTTTAACCCAAACATGAAACATTTCTGTTTTGGGAAGCAAAAATGTTTGATCTCTTTGCTTGCACAATGTGACCATGAAGAAGGTTTAACAGGATGACACTAATTTTAGAAATTTGCTTCATTTTTGTGAAGTCAGAGCATCATTTACACTTGACAGTAATGAACTTAAACCATCTTTATTTCAGGCTTTAGAAGAAGAAACCAAACTAGAACAAGTGGAGTTTGGTGGTAACCCCATGGGAAGAAAACATGACTGTCTTTCCAAATTCTTTAGGTTTAAAGGTACACATCGAAGAAAACACAACTCTCTTTCCAAATTCTTTAGGTTTAAAGGTACACATCATTCATGCAGCACAGGGCTGTGAGGGGAGAGCTAACACACAGCTCTGAACCTGACAACGTATCTCCTGTCTGTATTAATTAGCATCAGATGGATATGTCAGTATGAGTGCACGCTCTCCGAAATGCCTTTATTTTGACAAAATAACATCCTTTGACCTACCAAACCTACATCCCTCCATGGCAGGAAAGCTCACCAGGACAGCCACCCTATTAAGTGATGGTGAGCACCCCCATAACCATTCCTGGGATGAGCAGACCAAGTGTCCTGTGCATTTTTTGGGGAGTAACAGCCAGCAGAACAAAAGGAGTCTGTGTGAGTGCCAACAAGGCTCAGCCCTGGCCTGAATGGAGGTGTCCTTATGTGTGCTAGAGATCTGAGCTCCCTCCAGAGCATCTGAGATCTGATGCCCCATCCCTGGAAGTTTTCAAGGCCACATTGATGGGGCTTGGAGCAACCTGGTCCAATGGAAGGTGTTCCTGCCCAATGCAGGAGGTGGAACAAGGTGGTCTCTAAGGTCCCTCCCAGCCCAAACCATTTTGTGATTCTGTGTTTGTATGATCCACTTTGCTCATGCAGATTTCAGGTAGGACTCTGTGAAACTTCTGTTATTCCCCGCCATATAAACCAGCAGGCAACATGTGTTGTCTATTGGTCTCAACACCAATATCCTGGGAGGTCTGGACCAAAAAAAACACCATCTGTGAGAAGAGCTGAGGTGCCAGAGAGGTGACTTTCTCCAAGGTATCATTCACATCTTCCCTTTACTGGAAGGAGCCCAGGAATATGTCGTTCACAGAAGTACTTGCCCATTCCTAGGATATTTCTAGTGCTGCAGGAAAACATAGTCAGGCATCATCCTGCACTCTGAGCACATGCATTACTGCTCTCCAAAACATGTGTTGAAGGCCTTGGCAAGTCTGTGTTCCCCCCAAGGACAGCTCAGATTCAGCTCAGATTCATCTGCTCTCCCTCCCCACGCCAGGAATGGAGGTGATAGGCAGTAGATATATCATCACACACATTTGGGGCGCATTATCTGGGGTCACCTGAGAAGCACAGTGCAATTTTAGGTCATTTTTCCTCTCTCTTGTCTGTGCACAGATCTGGGTTAATCCTCGCATGGGTTGTGGCTTGTGATGGTGCTGACCAAATTTCAGACAAGAGATGTGTCTCCTCTGCACACTTTTCATCTCCAAGATCAAATGTTTGAAATCAAATAAGGAAATAAACCCCCACAATCAGTATTTTGAAGCCTGAATTTGGCTCTGGGGCTTTTATTTCTACAGCATTTACCTGTAGCAGAGAGAAGGGAGAGACCACGGGGCAGAGGTGGGTCACTGTGTCCTTGCACCGCCTGTGGCACACAGCCCTGCCTGCCCTTACCTCAGAAAGATTTATGAGCCCCTCTTTCATCTCATAATCCTTCGGTTTTGCCACGTAACCTCCCCTGAACCTGCTGTGAGTCAGCAGGACTTGTCTGTTAAGGGAAGATTGATGGATGGCACTGGAACAGAGGCATGCTGGCCATATTAACCATCTCTGCCCTCGCCCCTAACCCACAAGAGGGATGGACCAAGTCCAGACCCTGCACAGAGATGCTCCAAGGGCCACTGCCCTGCTGTCCCTTCCCCAGAACAGACTGAGGCGGTGATGTGACTGTGCAGCACATAAGTATATTTCACATCTCCTTTGCAAAAATCTCGTGTCCCACAACTCAGGTTTTGGCTGCTGGTGAAGCTTTCTCCCAGAAAGGACCAAAACATGAACACTCCTCATTTGTACATATTAGGGATTGTGTAGCTGGCAAAAATATTCACCATGGGGTTCTGGCCCAGCTCCTCCCACATGCTCAAACTCTGCCTCCCAAAGCTCTCCTGGAAAAAAAACATACCTAAAGTTGGTGCTGTAGTTTGCTTTAGAGGTGGGAACGTGTCAGGAATGAGAGATGGCTGGGAGCAAGTGCTCCCATTTGTTTAAAAAGATAAAAAAATCCCAGAGCTTGATATGGGAGGTCAAATCTGCCAGCTTAAATCACTTTATTTCTTAAAAGTTGCCATTCTTGGCAAATATATCGTGGCCTTCACCTAGAAGTGAGGCTGTCTGTGAATGGCATCACATCAGATGTGCACTGCGGCTTCTTTCATCCCCAGCAGAGGAGGGCTGAGGGCTGCAGCCTGAGGGTTGAAAAGATACTTTTCTTTGGAGATGCCAACAGTTTCTTCGGCAGATTTTTCCCCCTTACCCCCTCCCACCCCAACCTACTTCCACAAAAAAAAAAAAAAAAAAAAAAAAAAAAACAACCCCTAAATGGATCCTGTAGTGTCTGCAATGTAAAGAATTAGCTGAATGGGAAGAAATGAACCATGGTCTTTATGTCCTAGTTACAGTCAGTGCAAACATTGCTGCTAATCCCTGTTGTCAGAGGGGACTGGGGAAGAGACACGGATAGATCCCACTGGGAACATTTTGTCTCTCTCAATCCACACTTGAGATCACATTTTTTGTGTGCAATAACACTGAGTTGTATTAAGAAGCCTGTGGATAACGTGAGGCTAGGGGGGATAATTGCTCACTGTCCATTCCACCGAGCATAGCACCTACAGCCTTCATATGCAGGGAGGTCTCAGCGACCCATTCATTTCAGGGGAGAAAAAGAAAGCTATTCATTCCCAGCAAATCCCATTTTGCCATGGTAACCCCCCTTCCCGCCCCTTGAGCACAACAGTTGTTCACAGGAGCTGTTTAAAAGAAGACAACAAAACCAAACCATCGCCCATCCAGCCCTGGCATTTTCTGCTCAGCCTTTTCTGGGCAGGGATAATGCAGGGATGGGGAAGGGAGGGAGTGAACAGCTCATTTTGTCCCCTGCCATGCCTGGGGGCATCCACTTGTGCCCCGCAGTGGGACCATCCCAAAAGTGGGGTGTCCTGTACACCCCGAGCTCCCTGGTGGGACAGTGACCATGTCATGGAAGCAGGGAACAATGATGGGAACTTATTTTCTACCCTGTAGTGCCAAGGAGAGGGCTTTGGCTGGTCAGAGCCCGTGCAGGGGCTGGGGAAGGGAAAAACAGGCTCCTTGCCAGCTATGTCCCAGTCTGGAATGATCAGCCCAGTTTTCTCCCGTCCCTTCCATGGGGAACATATTCATGGGTCCAACAGCAGCTGGGCACCAGCACAACTCTCACCAGTTTTGGGGTCTCCAGCTTTCCTGGGTGCCCCACTCACCCTTGGGTAGGAGATCTGGAGCTCATAGCCCACAGACAGCACCAGGGAACCCGAGTTTGTGCTGCTGCTGGAGCATTTGGTGGTGGTCACTAAAGCTGTGTTTGAGCTGCTGGGAAGGACATGGGGCATGCAGGGTTTCTCCTGGTGTGACACCGAGCAGCCCGGGGTAGGGGAAGGTGTCCCTGTCCATGGCAGGGGGTGGAATGAGGTGATTGTGGAATCACAGAATGGTTTGGGTAGGAAGAGACATCAAAGCTTATCCAGTGTCACCCCTGCCATGGGCAGGGACAGCTTCCACTGTCCCAGGCTGCTCCAAGCCCTGTCCAGCCTGGCTTGGGACACTCCCAGGGATCCAGGGACAGCCACAGCTGCTCTGGGCATCCTGGGCCAGGGCCTGCCCACCCTCCCAGCCAGCAATTCCTAATTCCCAATATCCCATCTGTGCCTGCCCTCTGGCAGTGGGAGCCATTCCCTGTGTGCTGTCCCTGCCTGCCTTGTCCCCAGTCCCTGTGCAGCTCTCCTGGAGCCCCTTGAGGCCCTGGCAGGGGCTCTGAGCTCTCCCTGGAGCTTCTCTTGTGCAGGGGAACAGCCCCAGCTCTGCCAGGCTGGCTCCAGAGCAGAGGGGCTCCAGCCTGGCAGCAGCTCCGTGGCCTCCTCTGGACCTTCTCTAACAGGCTCATGTCTCTCTTGTGCTGAGAACCCCAGAGCTGGGTGCATTGCTCCAGGTGGGTCCTCTTGAGGCAGAGTAGAGGGGGTAAAATCACCTCCCTTGGCCTTCCCATGGCTGTTTCATAGCTTCTAGGCTATGGTTCTGGCACGCTGTTGGCTCATGTCCAGCTTTTCACTCACAAGAACCAGCAAACCCTTGGGAGCCCTGATCCATAAGGTCCTGTCTGGCTCAAACCATTGTACAACACCCACCTCAAGGTCTGCCCTGTACCTCCCCGTCCCTCTCCCTTCCTGATGCCACATCGCTGTGGAGCCATTTGATGTGCAGGGAGACTTGGGGTGCAGGAATACTCTGGCCCAAACCAGAGTATTGATTTTGATTTTGGCCCAGTTTTGATCTTGCACCAAAACTCCAACTCAAGTTGCAGTTCCCACTGAGGTGAGCTGACCACCAACCCTTCAGCAGGAGACCCTGTTCCAGCCAGAGGTAATTCCTTCCTATAGTTATGGAATGAAGAGGCATCACAAAAGGTTAATTGGGCAAGGAATCCAGGGAAATCCAGCTAAAATCCAGGCAGGCAGCGTGGGGAAGACAGGAGATCCTCAGCATGTGCCCTAAGTGCTTAAACTCTGTGGCATCACCTCTGCTGAGAGCAGGGCTTCCCACAGCTAAAAATCATATCATTTTTGGTTAACCTGAGTTTGCATTTGAGAGCAAATAAGGGATTCCTGGCATAAATAGAATTTCAGTAAAAACTGGAATTAAGGGCTGGTTTTAGTTATGAATTAATAGGTCATTTTATTTTTGTAAACACAGAGGGAACACAAAATACTGGGAAATGAAAGCAACTGTTTGCATCAGGTGTTTCTGAAATAAATCCCAGCAACACCACAGATTTTATCCTGTACTTTTTTGTTGACTGAGGTGAATGAGGCCCTTCTGGTGACCCAAACTCTTCCCTGCTACATCCTGGGTATAAAACCCTCCCTCTCCACAGGCAAACAATGTTAGTCAGTTGGTCATACCACAGCCTATTAATATGCAGATATTTTAATCACCCTCCAGATCCTCTCTCAAATTGCTCCACATGGATTTTCAATGCACACAACAAATTTCCTGTTCTTTAGTGGCACTTCTTCAGGACTTTCTCATCTGTCCAGTGCACCTTCTTCTCTCTAGAGACCCAGTACATTGTGGGATCTATCCCCAGCACTGCTGCCCCCCCCCCCCAAAAAAAAAAAAAAAAAAAAAAATTTTAGAGTTAGAGAAGTCTCAAAGCAAATTGTCTTTGTCTAAATCAAATCGCTAATTCAGCTGAACTACCAATTCCTGGATGGAGAAACCACTCCTCTCCATTCACAAGAATGAGAATTTAAGGTTGCAATGAATCCCACTAAAAAGTCCCCCGAAAAATAAAATCCTGTAATGACAGAGTTTGACTCATACTCAACTCACTGTGACTGTGGGGCAGGGGGTAAGAAAAGGGGGAGGGAATGAATCCAAAGGCTTCTCCATTCTCAAGTTTTCACTGAAAAGGCTCTGACATGAGCAAAAGCATATTAAAACTAAGTGCCTAGAGAAATGACTGCTCCCAGCTGTCTGTCCTGCCTCCTTCCCCTCCAGTGTCACCGTGTGTGTGACACAGACAGCCTGGCTCAGGCAGCAGCTGTTAAACCACTGGAAATTTCACACAGATTTAGGGTTTCTTTCATATATGAAGTGTAACCTGCAGCTGTTGAGCAGCTGCTGTGCAGGAGCTTAGCCACCCGTGCAGCAGAGCTGGGGATCCCGGGCCAGGGGGAGGACAAGTACCTGGGGGACCCAGTGCACCCACACTGGATCTGCATCAACCACAGTCCAACCTTTGGTCCTCACCAGAGCTTGGTTTTGCTCAGGACCATGGCTCTGGGGTCTCTGCATGGTGCCTGGCCCCTCAGGCTCCAGGGGCACCAGCTCCTGGTGCCACCCAGCTCAAATCCTCCTGAAAGGATCACTGAATAAGTGCAAGCGTGGACACAGCCTCTGCACCCCGTGAGTCCTTAAAGTATTCACACGTGCAATATTTAGGTTGAAAGGTCTGCATGACAGTGAAATAACAGGATGTATTTACAGGTCATAGAATCAAGGAATTACTTGGGTTGGAAAAGCCCTGAGAGGCCGTTGGGTCCAGCCATTTTCCAGCAGTGCCAAGGCCACCACTGCCCCATGTCCCCAGGTGTCACACCTGCACAGCTTTAAACCCTGCAGGGATGGGGACTCCACTACTGCCCTGGGCAGCTGTGCCAGGGCTGGACAGCCCTT